ATACTTTTTTCTGCGGCAAAAAATAACAAAGTTTTTGATAAAAACTCTTTTAATACTCTCTCTGATTGCCATTCATAGAGTAGTGGTGTTTGTGTGACAACTTTCTAACTGTTTATTCAATTACTGTATTATATTAAATAACGCACGAATTAATATCTAAATATTTAATATAATAACAATTTCCCTTTTAGATGGCATTTTTAGTCTCATTGTGTTTCACTGTAACCTCTTTTTAGTTTTTCGCTAAAGTATTGATTTTCTGTAATTGTTTGTCTCAATATTCATTATATTCTCGTTTATACTTGTAATACGAATCCATATTTAAGTATTATATTATTTATCTGTTATTCATGTTCAGAGTCTGTACTGACTTTTACTTAACTTACTTCTGACTCTCACTCCTTATCTAATAATTTAGTGCATTTTCTGGTGATAATCACTTGAGACTAATATATTAATTCACATTTATATTTGTGATTAAATATCCAAAGTTTTTTCGTAAACACATTAACGATTGATTAAATTAATTACGCGATTAATTGATTGTCAATACAATCATGACTTCACTTATGAACAAAATGTTTAANTTTTTGTCAAGTAGATGGCATAATTATACAAAATATTTCATTGAAACACTTAACTTAAGCCCTTTTATAGCAAAGAATAGCATTGCATTGGGCGTAACTCATTTCAGACCATTTGAAAACATTTCATTTATTGAGTAAATACCGTAAATAAGTTTCTAATTGTTGACGAGGTGATCAATTATTTTGTATTTACAGCACAATTATCTGAGTCTCTTTAATATTAAAATCCATTAATATTAAGTGAATTATGAGGTTCATTGTAGTGGTCATCGGTGACAGATTCTGTGATTGATTTACATCCATATCAACACTATGTATAACTTCAGCTAATGTAGCGCTTATAACCTACAAAGGGTTATAATTACCAAACTATTCAAATAGAGTTAATAATCACTTTTCATATAATAATTAAAATCCATAATTTAAAAGAGCACTAAAAGCGTTCACATATTTTATTAGCAGAAATAGAGTTACAGAATATATTGTAATTTAAAAACTAATCGTTGATTAAGTGGTTAACAGTTATTTCAAAATACAATTCCAGACATAATTTTATAGAAAAACAAAGGATTAATAAAAAACATTAAAAACAATTTCTAATCACAAAGATTGTGCTCAAGAAGAAGATCCGCAAACAAATCAAATGATTGGTTATGTATTTGGTGTCTACTGTTTGTTAAAGAACTCTTTGCTGGCCTTCACTTCGGGCTTAATGGTGTCGGCGCCGGGTCTCCAACCGGCCGGACACACCTCCCCGTGAACGTCAGTGAACTGAAACGCCTGAACCAAACGCAGAACCTATAGGCAAGTCAAGGGTTTCCATGAAAACCAATTCTTAGTGATAGAGATTGCAGTGAAGTGTGATTTGATGCAAACCTCATCAACATTGCGACCGACGGGCAGGTCATTGATCGTGATTTGACGCAAATTCTGCTTATCGTCGATAATGAAGAGTCCTCTCAACGGAATGCCCGCGTCTTCCAAATACACGCCGTAGTCCTGAGAGATCTTCGCCGACTTGTCCGCCAACAACGGGATCTTCATTGCGCCCAAACCGCCCTCCTTTCGGGGTGTGTTTGTCCTGTTTGGCGGGAACAGTAGGTTAGACACGATATCAGAGACGATTAACTATCATATAAAACGTGATTTTGATAACAATTGTACAATACATTCATAAGACTGGAGTTATTTGTCAAATGATTGAGTACTCATTGAGTGGTAATTATCAAAATCACGTGCGAGTGATGATCACGAGATCGCATACCAGGCCAAGTGACTGAAGTGACTGTCGGCCGAACAGGCGACGATCTCGCAGCCGATTTTGCGGAAGTCGTCCGATCGGTCGCTGAATGATATGATTTCTGTCGGACACACAAACGTACTGTTCATCGGATAGTAAATCATACAATTAAGACCACAAATGAAGCCATAGTTTTGTAAATGGCATACAAATCGAGGGGATAGAAGAAGAGGACGAGATATTTGCCGCGATAGTCACTCAGAGCGATGTCTTTGAACTGTCCGTCCACTACAGCGGTTCCCTTGAAGTCTGGGGCAGGCTTTCCGATCTTCGGGTAACAGGTGTTCGCCATATCTGCTTCTGGTTCTGGACTTTGAGGTGACTTTAAGGAATCTGTTGGACATTTACATTCAATTAGTCATTTGTATCATGCATTCACATATCAACTACCCTTGGCTATATTAATACACAATTAATGCAATAATCAATAAACTAATTAAAAATCAATTTCAAATAAATCAAAACTAAGGCATAAATTAATGAACAATTAATTACTTTTCCTTTTAAACATTTTGTTCATAAGTGAAGTCATGATTGTATTGACAATCAATTAATCGCGTAATTAATTTAATCAATCGTTAATGTGTTTACGAAAAAACTTTGGATATTTAATCACAAATATAAATGTGAATTAATATATTAGTCTCAAGTGATTATCACCAGAAAATGCACTAAATTATTAGATAAGGAGTGAGAGTCAGAAGTAAGTTAAGTAAAAGTCAGTACAGACTCTGAACATGAATAACAGATAAATAATATAATACTTAAATATGGATTCGTATTACAAGTATAAACGAGAATATAATGAATATTGAGACAAACAATTACAGAAAATCAATACTTTAGCGAAAAACTAAAAAGAGGTTACAGTGAAACACAATGAGACTAAAAATGCCATCTAAAAGGGAAATTGTTATTATATTAAATATTTAGATATTAATTCGTGCGTTATTTAATATAATACAGTAATTGAATAAACAGTTAGAAAGTTGTCACACAAACACCACTACTCTATGAATGGCAATCAGAGAGAGTATTAAAAGAGTTTTTATCAAAAACTTTGTTATTTTTTGCCGCAGAAAAAAGTATTGAATTGTAAGTCAAGGCCAGTGATGTCTAAACCGTTTTTTGAAACATAATATACGGCTAATGAGTGGTTAAGGAAGAGTAGTTTGGGGCTCAGGCTTACTATAAAATATAAAACCAGTTATGAATAGCACTCATACACTCGGATACCATTAAAAAGTACTTCATTAGTACCTAACCATTGCTGAGTTACCGATAGCTGTAGTAATTGGCGTTTGCTTTCAATTACATTTACTACTCATTCATATAATGCTATTCATTATGATTTTAATTATGAATATAATTAACATTTTTAATGCAAATGTTTTGCATCCGATGGACAGACGTGTCGGTGCTTAGGGCTCAGGGATGACCTGATTCTAGCCCTAAAACGTACCCAAAATTAGCTACAAATACAGTACACAACGAGTTGTTTGCCTTGAATTACATTACATGTCATAAAAATCTTTTTCTTTTGTTACTTTTGGTATACATATAAAACAAATACAATTTTTTACTCATGTATTAATTTCAAACTAAATTTAGTGGCAAATCGTTGGATAATATTAGTTATACAACGAGTGAGTGAGTGAGAGAGACATGACTTTCAACACGACTTTCCCTTTAAATTGTAAAGACGTTTGTCAATGAATTTTGGAGAAATTTATTTTTTAATTGATTAGCGCTTTGTCTGATGTAATACTCGTTATATTTGGTGAAACTCATACTTTTGGCAAATATTTAATTTAATATAATTACAAATGTGTTTTATATAGCATTCGTACCATTAGTTTAATGAGTTTTATAAATTATGATTATGTGGTGTATAGTGAAAATGTATTCACTTTTTTATATTACTGTTAATAGTAACCGGCTTATGATTTATATAGCCTACAAGTCATCATAAATTCAATTATAACTAATAATTGTTTGCTTAAATCGATTAAATAAATATATTTAATAAATATATTTAATAAAAGTATTTAATAAAAGTATTTTTCGTATTTCTATTCAATGCTAATATTGATCTAGCAAATAAATGTACTTTTAATTAAGGCTTATACGTGAATAACAAAGGGCAGGAAATTAGTGTATATATGGTATTAATATGGTGTTAATACGTGTAAAATAGTAATTTAATTACAATTAAACAAATTTAATTCAATTACCTGTGAATCGATGGCACAAACTGACTGACAATCACCGACTGATTGGTGAAAATGAGTTGAAATTAAATAGGATTTAGCGAAACAACGGACACAACAAATGCAGTGATAGTTAGCTTAGGAGTCGGCGTTTAATGCACTGAACAGTCAACGCGTTTTTGCATTGAGTTTGCGCTAAATGTGCGGCACTTTTGCTATGGCTTACGGTTTTGGCGTCAATTTGAAAGTCTGTGCCAAATGTTATTAAACTTCACGTTTACTCCACTTATTATTTGTTACATAAGGATGTTTAGTTGTTCACATTTATAGTAGGTGTTTGTACAGGTTTTTTTGTCAGGGATGTTTAGTTGTAAATGAATTTGTTATGACTTATTAATATTGTAATTGCAATTCATTTGTAGTGAACTTTTTTGGGTACTTTTTATTCTGTGAATTCATTTGGTATTTAGTATTCATTAAACTTATCGCAAGTTTAGTATAATTTATGATTTTGATTCAGATATGGTTTTCATGTTTTTCGCTTATCTCGACATTTGGGTCTCATTTGGCACTCATTGACACAAACCTTACTCTGAGATCAAGATTCTGTACCCTTTCTAAACTTTCAATGTCTGATGAGTTTTAATGTCTTGTTTTTATTAATTAGCATTTGTTGTATATTTTTATATTTTATTAATTAGGATTTAATGGGTGTCCGATGCGTTTAAAATGAATACCATTAGTGTTATATTAAGCAGTTTATATGCAATAAGGTGTAGTTTTAGCATTTAACGCAAGAAGCACATGCAAATGTAGTTTATTATCATATAAAAGAATCTGTGTTTGAATTAATTGCTAAAATTTGTTTGATTGTATGCTAATTTTTGAATACAGATATTTCAAGAATTTCTTGTTTTGAATTCTTGCATAAGTTTGTAAAATGTGATGAATAATTGATTTGAAACATTGCATCACTCATTGAAGTGTGGATTTTGAATAAAAATAAAAATANGATTTGAAACATTGCATCACTCATTGAAGTGTGGATTTTGAATAAAAATAAAAATACTTTCTAAACTTGTTTTAAAAGTTATCGCCAGTTGTTTGAAATTAATTTTATGTAATCCTAAACCAAAGTCTGGGAATTAGTTGTTTTGAATTTAATATCTGTATATTCCATGTAAAAATAAGGTATTTATTTGTTATATTTTGATAGACATTTACACATTTACGATAAATTCTTTTATTGTTTACTTTATAATAGTTTTCAATGTATACTTTGTATTAATTACAAATTTGTTTTATTATGTACTAACATTTAACATTTAACTCATAAAATAAATCTTAATTACTTGATATTGTATACAACATTAAGAATCTCAATTTAAGATAATAAACACATTTATTAATGAATTGAACAACAATTATTTTTAGTGTAGATTTACTTGTTTTGAACAATATTTCATTTCATTTAAGTAAATTATTTTTGAACTATTAATTTATAATTTTAAATCTCTTAATCTGATTGTACTGTAAATTCTTATGTTTCTATGTTTAAGAATACATATAAATTTTAAAAACATATAAATTATATACCGTAATACAGTGACTAAACAGTATGTTTGCACTAAATTGTAATTGTGTAATACAGAGTACTGTTATAAAAAGCACTTAAAATACAGAATCTGTATAACAGTATTACTAAATCAATGGAATCTCGTCTTATCTAAATTTATAAGCAATATTTGTATGCGTTTTGTCAGTTCATTGAATATAAGTTTTATATGACTTCAAACCTGTGATCAAGTTGTGCCCCTTTTGACGTATATGTCAATTAGTTTATTGATTAATATTGATTAACAAAAACTAAAAATAATTCGCCTTAAAATAATTTATATGACAATATATTGTCTCAAAGTCATACATGAACAAAATTGTCATGTAAATTGTTTGGAAATATTTAAGTTTTTAGCGAATAGTCATTAGAAGTCATTTGAAGGTAATCTTCATTATCATTGAGAGTCAGATAATATGGTTCACCAGTGAGAGGGACATTGACTTCTGGCGTCGATTTAGTCAAGTGAGAGTCAAATGCAGTCTCATATCTATTTTGCCCCAAATTTTCATAATATGTCGGCTCCGCATAGTCTTCGTTTCCGTTTTGGTAAATGTCTTCATAAGTGTTGAGATCATCTTCTTTGCCATTAAAGTCCATATTTGGTTTGATTCTCATTCGGCGATTTCTTCGTCTCATTATCACCGCAACCAGTAATACAGTGACTAATATTACGATTACCACCAGAATTATAATCACCGGAACCGTGAAACCTGTTG